TTTCTTGGCAAAAATATTGAATTTGTTGATGGATGAAGCCAAGGTCATGAATTTATATCAATCTATCTTACATATACATAAAAGAATAGATTTTCTTAAATAAAAGAAGACATAGATACTGGAGCAACACAGATCTCAGAGATGTTCAACTTAAATATAAAAGTATTGTCAAATATTACTACTAAGCAATATAAAGAAACCATAGAACTTAAAAATTAAGTTGATGCTATTGCAGCACAGTTAAAAGATATACTGTTTGAAAAGTATCAGTGGACCCAGACGTGACATTATACCAACCGATAAAAGGGGATATTCGATTCCAATAACATCAACTAAAAAAGTGATGATACATAAAAATAAAAATGATTCCAAAACTATCAGTATCATAGATCAAGATGATATGATCCTTTTAGATCCAAAAGAAGAATGATATGTCAAAATAGTCAGAATTGTACATGAAATAAAAATAAGTGATTCATATTTCATCTCTCCAGGAAATAATGTTTATCCTAGAGTGACAGCCATGGAAGGAGGAGACCCTTCATTCATAAAGATAATTGCAGACTATGAATTTCTAGATTTAATATATCCAAGAAAGAATTCGATTGAAATATCAAAATTTGATGATATGTTCATAAAAGTAGTATCAAAATTTACCAAAAGACGAATAATATATCTAAAATTTTATTCAATAAGCCCTGAATATAATGAAATTATTTATTGCTCAATTGAACATTAATATCAATTGGGTATGTGCAGCCAATTTCCAAATAGATGTTATGGAGAATGATCGAAAAGTTCCATTGGTAACAAAGTCATGGATCAAGTATAGAAGAGCATTTGGAATCAAAGCTATATACAATATTGTCAAAAATTTATATGATAAAAAATTCTCATGTTTATGTCAATATGAAAATTAAATGTTAGTTACAAATAGAGGATATGAAAAATCAGAAATCTTGAAGGATTACATCATAAAATTCGACATACATCAATTTTCAAGATGTCTTACCACTATAGAGGAATCTTGCCAGCTAAGAGCTTGTCCCAGCTGCATGTAAAGACACAGAGATAAAAGGACAATAATAGAAAGGAAGATGCCTCTTTAATAAAAAGCAGAAGCTGCATATGAAGATGTAGATCCAAGAAGGACAATAATAGAAAGATAAGCGTGCCTTATGATATTGTTGATGTACGCAATGATGTAAATAGATTAATAATGAAGCTCCATATGTATGTATAAATAGAGGTATTATGGAAGGAAGGAGATATCTCGATTAGTAGTGAAGAACCAATATCTATTCTCAAGTTATCTTTAGTTCAAAATCAGTTTTTTTGGAAACCCTTTTGTACCAAATAGAAGTCTTGTACAAATTTTTATAGAAATAAAATTCCAATATTTTGTTATCAATATGAGTTTCTAAGTCTTTATTCCCATAAATTATTGGAGGATCTAATAGAAAGTTTTTTCCTTATTTTAACAAAAATAGAGCTTTTCTTTAATTAAAGTTTAGAAATTTATTCTTTATAAATGATATAATGAGAGTAAGAAGTTGAAATAGTAAAGATTCCGTGAAGGCAAGAGGCTGTTGAAGGAAGCAGTTTACATATTCAGAGCTCGAATGTCACTTAATTATAAGAATAAAGGTCCAGATCAGAACTAAGGCAAGACTATTAATTTTTACTAAAATTAGAACGAATCTTTTTAAGATCTTAGAGAATTATAGGGATTATTTATGATTGAATGCCAGGATATACAATTAAAGAATTAGATAATTTATTAGAAAGAATATTAGAAGAAATAAAAAATATAAATATATCTTCTGAAGAATATAATATACTTAATAAAAAATATGAACAATATGTTGAAGAATATTCCAATATATTAGATCATAGAATGGAGTTAATGGACCTATATGCTAAAATTCAGAATAGAATAAACATAAGATAAAAATAATTTAAAAGATCGGAATATATATTACAATAACTTTTCTATAAATAAATTAAAAAGGAATAAAACCCGACCAAATAGAAAAAGTGGAAATTACACAAAACCAACCATACATTAAAAATCCAACATTCTAAAATTAGATGGCAAGTTTAACAATTCAAAAATCAGAAATTTTATTTTAATTAATATTTCTATAAAATAAATATCATTACTCACAAACCCTAACTCTCTCTCACATTTCTCCATTCTACCCTAAAACACCCGTCGCCTCCCTGATTAAAAAGAAAATCGCCGTCTCCTTCTCTCTCTCAACCTTTCCCGGAAGCACAATTTCGGCGTCGGAGGCGCGACCACCCTTCTAATCGGTGGAGTTGAGGCACGGCGCGGCGTTCCCATCAGCGACTAGCAGAGATCTATTGGCTCATCTACTTCGGCAGTGATCTGGAATACACCACCGTGCATCACAGCGATCTGTCGCCGTCACCGATGGTTATAGCTATGGATCGACTGTGACAGTTGTAATGGCTATGGTGCTGTGGTGGATTTGTTGTTGTGGTGTGGTGACTTTGTAGAGTTCTATAGCTGGTTTGCCGTGATGGGGAAGTGGTGGTGGTGCCGTGATGTACCTCGTGATTCGTGAAGCAGATCTGTAAGATCTGCAAGAAGAGGAGGAGATCTTTTGAGATGAGACCGTGATTTATTGCTGTGTTGTGGGTTGTGGTGGTGGCTACGATCATGTGGTGGTGGTAGTGGCTACGGTGGTGGTGATGTTCGCTGTGGTGGTGGAGGTGGAAATGGCTTTGGATTGAGTTGTTGTCTGTGGTATTTTTTGGTGATATTTGGGTGGTGGTGGCGGCTGCTTACATATTTTGGTGTTGGCGGTGATGATCAACGATGTTGGTCGTGGTGATTGTGGCATGTTGGTGTTCTATGATGTGTTGAGGTGGTGATGGTTCTGGTGGGTGGAACTAGCTGAAAAATTACGCTTGGGTAGTGTTGGTGAGGTTGTGAATTGAGCATTGTTGGTGTGTTTGGTGGCAGTGGTTGGCGACAGTGGAGGTTGTTGGTTTCGAAGTTTGGCGTGTGGTGGTGGTGTGGTTACTGTGACGGTTGTCGTGGTGGGTGGTGGTCGGGGTAGATGGGATGTAGGTAGTGTTTGTGACCAGTAATTTGTGTCTAATAATAACATGTAACCTAAAAAATGCAATTGTGACCATAATTTATTAAGTTGTGACCAATAAAAATTTTGATTTTGTAATCAATCAATGAATTGTGACTTATGAAATTTTTGATTTGTGACCGTAAAAAATTTGATTTTGTGAACGATCAATGAATTGTGACCTATGAAATTATTGATTTGTGACTAGCAAATTAAATGTGGCCAATAAAAAATTTGATTTTGTGACCAATCAATGAATTGTGACCTATGAAATTTTTGATTTGTGACCAATAAAATTTTTGATTTGTGACCGATCAATGAATTGCGACCTATGAAATTTTTGATCTGTGACCGACCAATAATTTGTGACCTATAGAATTTTGAATTTGTGACCAATAATAGTATCTGTGACCTATAAAATTTTTGATTCGTGATTGAAAAATAATACGTGACCTATAAAATTTGTGTTTGTGACTTATAATTTATTGAATTGTGATCGAAAAATTAATCTATGACCTATAAAATTTTTGATTCGTGATCGAAAAATAATATGTGACCTATAAAATTTGTGTTTGTGATCGAAAAATAAGTTGTGACCAATAATATGATAAGTCGTAACTCAAAATTAATTCGTGACTAATTATTTTTGGATTTGTGACCAATAAACAAATTGTGACTTGCAAAATTTTTGAATTGTGATCGTAAAAATATTTGTGACATAAAATTTTTAATTTGTGACCAAAAAATAATAAGTAACTAATTATATTGTTAATTTGTGATCAAATTGTATAGATCCGTGACCTAAATATATTTAATTAATAAAATAATTAATTAACTAATTAAATTATGAATAATTTTTAATAAAAATCTGATTTTAAAAATTTGAAACTTGATTTCTTATTTTTGAAATGTGCCATAATTAATTTCTTAGATACGTAATTTTTCCATAGAAAAATCTTCCTTTTAAACTTAAGATCCAGAGGGTGACCCGACCCGGACAAAAGGGGGAAACCATCTCGGATCTGTTCTAGTCGTTACAATTTTCTACTTTCCCTAAAATTTCAAGGTAAGTGATTAGTATATCGATAATATATTTTGTAAGTTTTAATCTCGTTCAAAGATTTTATGAGATGATTCACAGTTTAGTTTGTTCTGTTAATTCATCACCCCTTCTTTTTTTGTATGTTCGGAATACCGCAGATCGCAATGTTTAAAACCTCGCTCGCCGTGTAGACTCTGTTGTTTTATATGTTGAATCTTTAACAAATAGTTATGTTATCGTGATGGGTTTTGCTCATTTTATAGGTTTAATTAGGCGGATTTCTTTTAATCTCTCGGGGGTGGAATTATTGTGCAGAATTACGCACTTCTCATATATTTTTATTTAAGTAAACGCGGGTGAATTTGTTTTTATCGTGTTTAATTTGTGCATGAAAAAAAAGAGACTGAAATATCAATTTGTTTCCAATTGGTTGATGGTGAATTGGTCATGAAATATCACTTTTTTTCCAATTGGAGAATGTGCTATTCTTGCATTAACTTGGCCTTTGCAGAAAAAAGAAAAAAGAAAAAAAGAAGAAGAATAGACTGAAATATCAATTTGTTTCCAATTGGTTGATGGTGAATTGGTGGTGAAATATCACCTTTTTTTTCCAATTGGAGAATGTAATATTCTTGCATTAACTTGGCCTTTGCTTTGCCTCAGGAAGAAATCTTCAAATAATGAATGTTTCTGTTGCTGTAAACGATGTACACAAATGAACGTTTTTATGCCTAAGATTTACATTCTTAATCTTCTGTGTGGGCCATTGTGGCCAACATCTTTAGCATACCTTCAAATAGAGCATGAACATATCATCCATAAGTATCAGAAAGTCAGTTATGAAATTCTTTGTACGGATAACTTGAGAATCATTCTCCACATCCTCCCGTATTATTTTTGTTACCTTGTGAAATATGGTGCTTGGTCTTCCTCACGTGCTCTTCTTTTTGTTAAACAAATTTATCGTCGTTAAATTAGAAGTCTTTCTTACTGGTTGTTGAGTTCTTGAATGAATGTCCATAGGATAAATGTAAGGAAAATGAGGATGCTAAGATGGATGTGTCATTTTACTCAAATGGTAAAGATAAGAAATCAAAATATATGCCAACACATGGGTGTGTGACTGAGGATAGTAGAACGACAATTTAGTTTGTTGTGACCTGTTTTGCATAGGGATTCATACGAGTGACGTGATTTAGGTAGAGTATGTCAGGAGGAGGGAGAGAACAAAATAACATGGTCTATGGTAGTTGCCAAGGATTAGATGCTTTGAATCTTTTGCAAGATCTATCAATGAATCGAATGGAATGGCAGAAAAGGATTATTTAGCGGGCCTGGTGACCTTAAATTTATTGTTAAAAAATACTTAGTTTGTTGTAACTAAGAATGGATTTTGGAGAGGAAAGATATACTAAATCAGTATATGATGCAGGAAATGGGTTTGTGGACGCTGCTGGAGGGCTGCCTGCTTCTTGCAAATGCACTGGCTATATTAAATGAAGACCGTCTTCTTGCCCCTAGGGGATGGAGCTTCCAGGAATATTCTGGTGTTAGGAGAAAATCGTTAAAGGGGCAAATTATTGGTCTTATATATGCAACCCAGTATTTAAGAGTTCCTCTTATACTTCTCAATTTGCTCTGCATTGTTGTGAAGCTGTTTTCTGGCTGATGTACCCCGGTATGATTAGTTGTCAGAGGATTTGTTTTGCTTATCAGGTACTTTTTATTTGTAGTTCACAGTATTTTCCACGTCTTTTTGGATTTGCTTAATAGTTAGAATATTTAATGGATGCAGGAGTCTTTCCTTTTCATGAAGGAAGTAATGTATTTATTCCTCACAAGAAACTATACTTTTACTATGAAGTGGATTTAAGCTACACACTGTTTTTTCTTTTGTCTGGATTCTAAAGCTGATGCTCGCCCAGCTTGCCATAACATCATAGCATCAAATGCAATGCGACATCCTAGAATTCCATTATTATATTTGTCGGCTTAGAAGAATGTATTCAGAAACCTAAACATAGATAGATTCTTCTTTTAGGCCAGCGTCAATGTGAATTTTTGATGAGCTGGTGCCAGTAACTTGTCGGAGCCAAGCCTGTATACAGCAAAATTAACCTTCATGCATAAACAAGTGAAGCACAAGCAATAAGTAGAAATTATTAAAATAAAAACTTGAAATTTTTATTTATTTTTTTGGTTGTCTTCCCATTTTACATCGATACATAACCCAGATTAGTTTTACATCTGTTCCGATATTATATAATGCTGTTTACTTGATATGCTAGTAGCTGAGAATCTGATGCTACATCTTCTTTTGTTCCAGGTCAGTTGAAAAGATAGCGGATTTAGAAGATTCAGTTAATGAAAGTGTGGAAAAAGGTGTTTGTCTGGAGAAGTGGAACCTTTTTTTCCTTTGAAAATAACATGTTTTATCACTAATATATCCTTTGTTCATTTTAGTATTTATACACCAAGTGGTAGTAGTATCCATATGGTTGTATACCATGTTGATTATCTTATGGCAGATTTTATTCCCTCGATCATTTCTGTTATTTTCACTATATTCAAAATTTTATTGTGTTCGCCTTTCTCGATGGAGGGAACAATGTTCGCGAAAACAGCATGTTTGAGATTGAATTGATGTATAAAGGGAGGCTAAATCCTTCTTATTTTGTGTGGCAAAAGAAAAGGATATTACTTACCAATAAAAACATGGGATAGGTAACTTGTGATTGTTGATCAATAAAAATCATAGAGAGAAATGAACAAACTAAAATATCACATTAATTATAAATGAAAACCTTGACCATAAATACAGCCTGATTAAGAGCAAATATTGCAATCAGACTTGCAACAAATGGATTAAAATTCCCTTCCAACAAATAGAAAATAATTATAAATCAGCAAAAACGTCATAATTTTTAGAATCTACAGCGATGAGCCTCAACGCAGCAACTGCCGCTGCTAGAGACATGCAACCAAAGAAGCAGACATTAAGCCAATGCCAACTCTTCTGTATGGAAGTCAATTTGTTTCCCTTAGCAACAAGGTACATGTGGTTCGCAAGTATGAATGTAAGTGGGAATGTGCTGATAGCACCGGTAAGGCTCATGAAATCTCCCAGAAACGGCAGCAAAGCAGAGACGAATGTTGTGATGGCGATGTAACCGCCCCTCACTACAATTCGGAATGACAAGTTGCGGAGAGCCAAAGCATTTCCTTTGATTCCATACTTGGTGTCCAAATACTCGTACATCGGGCTAGCAAATATCTAAAACAAACAATGCTTCTTCGGTTAGTACGATAAAGGGTTATTTGGTAAATGGACAGTATTAAAGAAAATGAGTAAAAATCTTCCATTCCAAACACGTGCTCATAGCATATAACATGATGACCAAAGGAACATTAGCAAACAGCATACCAGTCAAATCTTGTGCATCTTTCCAAACAGTAAATTTTAAAAAAAAATGATTAAGAGAAGGACAAGGATAATTAATTACATGCAAAGCAATAATTGTCTGTAGGAAAGCTGTAACATTAGCGAAAGTCTTCACCCAGACAGGACCATTGACACTGTTCAGCAAATAGGTTGATGTGTTGACTCCATAAGCCCAGTATCCCATGAAGGTAACAGCATACAATGGCAGAACTCCCAATGTGAACTGAAAGTAAAGAGCTTTCATCATGTTCTTAACTACAGGTTGTCTCACTGTTGCCTGTTGCAAGAAGAATAATTCGTTTGTGAGTGTCACATTCAAGCAACATATACTCCAAAAACAATAGCCTAAGATGTCCCGGAGGAGGAATCTTTTTCTTTAGGTACCCTCCTTTTCAAAAAAGAGGAGCCAACCTCCTCCCGAAAGATATTGACACTGTTACTTAGCTATCTCCAAAGGAGACAAAAAAGGTAATAGCTGTGTTTTAACAGTACAGAGACGATTCTTGAGATTATTTATGATTTGCCATAAATTGTTGTTTCCAAATTCAAAGAGGCTGCAGAGGCATGATATTTGTCACCTGTATCTCCGGGAGCATTCCAGTATTGAATGCAAAAACAAGGTTTGCAGATGCACCTATGGTTGTAAAAATCTTGCCAATTGTTGATCCTGGAATGTCGTAGTCTCTGGGAGGAGCTTCAATCCCTATATATATATTATAAGAACATCAAGCATAAGAAACTTCTCTAAACAATATAGACAGAGAAATGAAGCAGCAACACTCAAGCTTTTCTAGATTCTCATGGTTGGAAGTTAAGGGATCAAATATATGCAAGTACCATTATTCTAGCATTGGTAAGGCAAACCAGAAAATACTTGATAGTTTTAAGGAAGAAAATAAAAATTAAAATCTTGTCCACCATACCAGTTTTGTCCAGTAATGCAGATCAAACATACCCATTAGGACTCAAACAGAGAAGCGACAGGAGAGAAGCACTAGTAGATAGAGCAAGAGCATTTTAAGAAAGTGACCGAAAGTCATGATGCATAAGGGCATCTTCAAATCAATTAGCATATCAAACTTCTCAGAAATGGAAATTACACCTCTAAGATTTGAGACCCATGTGGTCTATTAATGTATACTTCACTTGAAAATATATGACATGTCAACTTATTTAGCATTGACCTTCAGCAGGATAAATGCATTGTACTGATTTATCTGAATTTCTAGTTTCGAACATATTCTATTATCCAGACACTCGAAAGTGCCTGGCCTTTTATTTGCCTAGTCTAATGGAAAAATTGCTCAGGCTGAAATATAAAATCTGCAACATGCTACCGAAAAAACCTAAATTCTGAATTGCAGCATACACCAACTTGCTGACACTAAATCCTGCATATAGCCGTCGCTTATATCAGATGCAATATCTCAGAAGTATTTTGGAAAACAAAGCTCAGAAAAAATTAAGATATTGAAACGCAAATGTCGCTATAAGTGTTGGTTTGAGAAGGGAAAACTTATCATAGATGCAGTTAGGTTGTTTCCATATTCAGCAAAAAGGTACCAAAGTAAGAATCTTATTTGTCCATAAAACATGGCACTCCTTATTTGTAAGATATTCAACATTTTCCTTGTCAAAATAAATCTAAGCAAGGACATAAAATGTACCAGAAAGATAAAGAACTTGGAATAAACAGAGGGAAAAGCATTTACATCAACATTTGACATCTTGTGAGATATTAAAACTTGGTAACAGAGAGAAACCATACCATCTTTAAGAGAGAGCGCAAATCCTATAACAATATACACTAGACTGAAGAATGTTGAAAATCCAAGCCAAATCCCTAGCGCTGACAAATGGGGTATACCAATGGCAAAAAGGGCACATGCAACTCCAGCTATTGCAATAAAGTATGGGAGCTTCATTTGATTATCATCTCTGAAGAGAACATAAATGGCCTGCATATAATGTCAAACAGATTCAGGATATTAGCTTTAATCTTTAGGATTCTTGTCATCTTAACCCACTAGTTAGAACGCTTCAAAATTTAGATGGCGTGTTTGGCAAGTTGAATTAGACAAAGGACAAAAGTATTAATTAAGAAAAAGAAGTTCAAATTCTGCATATTGTGCCATATGGTCTAATGCAAATGTTTTTCAGCGGTTGGCAGAAACCTAAAGAGTGCTTCAATTGTCTACCTGGGCACTACATTTTAAGAAATAATGGACAAATTTTATCCAATTTCACATTGATACTTAAATCAAGGGGAGAACAACAAAGATAATTTTACCTTAAGAGCCTGACCAGCTAAAATAATGTATCCAACATTTATCATGAAGAGATTCGCATATTGCAGTCCCCATGTAAGAGAATAAGCTTTGCCACCTACAAATGCAAAACCTCACTGTTCTTAGATGCAAGAAACAGCGATGCTGCGATATACATTATACTGAGGAACGTCATTTTGCTCATACCATATATAAATCCTGCAAGATCTCTGTATCTGATATGCCTCTTTCCTCCAAATTCGTGAAGCTTTGCCACGAGAGTATTTGCATATAAAGATATGGCTGTTGCTAAAATCAAACCAACAACGCCTCCTATCCAACCCAGTGGTACCATGACAGTACCAGAGTATCCCAGCACATAAGCACTGTTGATACCGGTGGTCAGAACAAATCCCACTTGAAACCATGAATCTACATCAAGCAAAATAGGTACAGATAAGTGCAATTACTATAATTCCAATTTCCACATCAGTCGAGCTACCAAAAACTGATTCTGAAGCTCAAAGAGGCAAAAAAAACTATTGAAATGTTGTCCATTGTAGTAATCACCAAATTGTAAGCCACATATAATAGGGAAATTCGACGTCTATAAAGCATAAGACTAAATAGTGGAAGGAGGACATTCAAAGGAGCAATTTCAAACTACGATAAATTTTCGCCCGCCGAAAACATTAATGGATCCCTTGAACGTCAAACTACAAACTTTGTCAATCATTTAAGCTGATATCCATTTTTTGACTCTTGTTGTCCTGAACATTCAATCCAATTCTCAATATGAAATGAGAATAATAAACAAACATGAAAACGCATTTTCATTAAAAAAAATAAAAACAATAAACAAAATCGAACCAAGATAACCAAAGCCGACACATGCAATATCACACCCATAAAGAAGAAAAGAAGAAGATAAATCCGAATTCATAAATGGGATTGGGAGGAAAAGAAGAATAAACCGCTGCTTATTTGATGGGCTGTCTCAGGAACGTCAACGGCCAAATGATCATCGGAGGGGACCTCCCTAGGTGTCCCGGAGCCTCCAACCACGTCGTTTGTTCCTCGGCCGTCCATATTCACCTCTACAGCCACTTCTTCTCCACCTCCCAAGAGCAATACCCGCTCTTCCTCAAATATCACGTTCGGCAAAGCCAGCTCTGCTTCTTTGTCCCTTAGCTGTATTTATTAACCACCAATCCAGCCCACAAATAAAAAAATTAAAAAACCAAAAATGTAGAATTTTCATAAGCGGACTGTGGGTGGTTGGGTCGTGGGATTTCAGAGGGTCAGAACCAGGACCATCATTAATTTCGTTATACGTTGGGATCGATTGAGTGTCAATAATTGCGTATCGACTGGCAACTGCTATTTTACTTCTTAGGATGCAATGGGCCCCAGAGGGTTGACAATTTGACCATTTTTGATGATCGACTGTTGAAATTATTTGATCCGACGGTTTTGTACTTGACACGAGGGATTTTGAATTGTGTGTTTTAAGGGAGAACGTGTAACGAATGACAATTCCGTGTCCGTGTTTGATCGCACTTCTCGCCGATTCGTTTATTTAGATTTCGTCGGATGCTTTCTCATACAATACGATGACGTTTCTACAACGCTGCCAATTCTTAGGTGTGTGTGACCTCAATTTGCTTCAAAATATCTTGTACGAAAACATTAGTGAAAATTGCACCATTGGTCTTATTTATCCTTCAAATAGTTGCCGATCTCTGACTTTTTAAAAGGAAAAAGTTCGTCCTCACATTCATAACGTAAATAAAAGCACACTTGAAATGAAATGGACCGGACATATTGGGCTTGGGTTAGATTCGTAGGCTTGATTTTGGGCGATATATTGTCATTGCATTAGTGCTATGAATTGGGAAAAATGGTAATCGACTCTACGTCAATTGGTGAAATAGTTGGAGCTCTCATCTTTGAGTCGATGCTAGAGCATTCCTATTGAGTTGGTGGATAATGCATCCTCATGCTTTATTGGAGAGATTCTCAAGCTTGATTTTGGGTGACATATGGTATATTATACTAGTATAAGAAATTATAGCTTTTAGGTAAGGTGATGACAGTACCTACGTCACATGTCAAGCTAGATTTTATATATAACTTAGAACACGAGACATTCTCACGAGGATCACATGACGATTTTACAAGATTTTTTAACCCGGGGGGGGGGCGTGAGAGGCTAACAATTGTGTAGATTTTCTAGCCAAAAGACGCTTTAGCTATCCGTTAGGTTTATTCATTTTGGATGAACCGTCTTAAGTTTTGAGGTTGTTGTTAAGTCATGATATTTTAAGAATTGATTGTGCTAGCAAGTGACACGCTTTTTTTAAAATGTTAGGGACTAATTTACTATTCAAATAATAGATTGGTGACCAAAGATGCAACTTTTCCCAAATATTCATGTTGTTTGGCCATTTTCTATAAATTTATTTTCTTTGTTACTTATATCTATTATGCCACTATACATATATGTCAGAAATCTTGAGAATGAGAATTAGCCCTTTTTGACGTTTATTAAAATAAAATTTTGTTTTTCTTGTATTAATTTTCATTCATACATTCTCACGATAAAAAAATTTATGCATAAATTCAAAAAAAATTTCATACATTTTAACCATGGATTTTCAAAGAATTCACTATCTGGAAACTCATTTAAAAAATAATAATAAAAAAATCTCATTTTAATGATTCAAACATGGTCAACTTCCTGAAAATGAGATATGGTAACTCAATGGGCTTAATTTAATGTTGTACAGGAATAAGAATGTGATTATTTAAAAAGTAAAGAAAAGAAAAGATTCCAACTTTAATGGCTGTGATTGAAAGGCTTTTTCGCTCTATTGTTATAATCAAAATAATGCATAGTGTCATGGCAACTGCAAAGAAAATCATACTATAGTATCATCCTAGTTGACGGAGAGATTATCATAACGAGGGAGAGTTATTGTCTATCATCGATCTCTATGATAGAATCGGTAGCAAGCCACATGACAATCTATTATTGAACTATTTTAAACACTACATCATTTTCTTCCATATAGGAATCTGTCAACCTCTATGTCACGTTTCATATGGCATAGTGGGTTAATCTCTATAAAGATATTATTGCACTTGATAGATACTCTATACCATGTACGCTCCCTACAGAAGAATTTCAGATGCTCATATGAAGAGTGGGCTCCATGTGAATAAAATAATCCAAAAAATAGCTAACATTTATTTAGGAAGGGTGATTATATTCAAACCACATTTATTTATAAATCTAACATATTTTAATTGTATTAAAGATCCTTAAATTTTATTCATTATCATGTATATGTTTCTAATATTTTTCATCATGTTTTTATTCTCAAATTTTCATTAATTAACAAATCTTGTCACTGTACTTTAAAAAGGACAAATTTTCAGTAGTAATTAAGCATTTATTATTAATTTTTTGCTTATTATTTATTATTATATTTGATTATTCAGAAAATACAAGGACAAATAAGTCATTTTTATATTTTCACAAAATTTTTGGACATGAACCGTCATTAGGAAAAAAATGTTAATTAATGGAAGGTTTGAAAAAAAGAATGTAATTAAAAACATTGAAGACATTAGTGTGAAAATAAGTAAAGATTGTAAACTTTTAATGCAATTAAAATGTTATTCTCTTATGAGACGTAGTGTGAATATTTTTAGTCTTTTAGGAATTTTCGAACTCTGATATTTCAATAGATTTCAAGCCATGAATATAAAATCATCTTGTTAATACCTTTGGTAAAAATAAAAGAAATTAGATTAATGAAAGGTGGTTATATTCACACCACATTTTTTTTTTATAAATACGCCACATTTTAATTACATTAAAGGTCATCAATATTTATGTATTATCACATTTATATCCTCAAATTTTTTAATCACATTCTTATTTTTAACATTTCATTGATCTAGAAAATTTTGTCATTAATCATGATTTTGGTCAAAAAATATTGTCAACGTGCTTTAAAATGAGAATCAAGTATTTAATTGCATTTTTGTATTAATATTTGTTTCGCTTATTTAAAAATATAATAAAAAATGAGTCTCTTTACTCTAATAGAAATCATAATTGTGAATAATTTATATTAATTTGAGAATAAGAATTCAATAGAAAATATTTGAGACATAAATATGATAATATGTAAAATCGAATGTATGAAAACAATAATTTCTTTCGATAAAAATTATTACCAACTGGGTGCCATGTGGTATTCAAATACAGAGAAGTCATTGGTGTACAGGTAGTTCTGTGAACCCCTCTGTAAGAATTTTTTCTGTATACCAGTCATTTTTCTTAGATACAAATATAAATAGTGCAAATTTTCCTCTTTCGCTGAGCCTTATAATTTGTAATAATTTTATCATTATTTTTCTCCAAAAGCAACTATGATACCAAAACTTCGTTATGCTCTAAGCAGTGGAAAAGATGATTCGCCATTTTGAAACTTTCCTTTCATTAAATAAATATAAGGAAAGCATTAAAGATGACAGATTCCTATCCCTTCGACCTCAAAGATCAATGATTGGCCTCCATAACCACCATTCCTAACCTCTTCTGATTTATATACTAGTGTCTCGTACTAAATTTGATTATGAAATAATTAAAAGCATTCCACTAGAGCATCTGGAAGGATATTTATAAATTTTTTAGATAAAGAATAGGTAATGCACTCAAACTTTACTATATACTTTTGTAAGAACACTTTTTATGAGTCGACATGATATAAAAGTGGTGTCACTAGTCGACCTAGTCAGACGAGCTTTTGAAGAGTCATGCTTGGCCATATATGTCCACTTTAACATAATGATTACTTGGCTCTTATTAAAATACCTATTATATGAGAAATAAGTTAGTGAGACGGTCTTATATGCAGACGTGATAAATCGTTCAATCAAATCACGACATCTTGAACGTAGTGTCGACAATCTCACTTGCACATGTGGTAGGCATATAATGCGAAAGTGAACAAGCATCTATGTATAAAGCCAAAGGGAAGATATTCTAAGTGTCTTAATGCTGTAAAAAGTAAAGATGTTATCGCTAGAAGCACGAATAGTTGTTCTTAGCTCAAAGACTTGCATCACCAAGCCACTCGTATTCTCTATTAACAATACCTGGCCTAGTTTGGCCATATATTGTTGTTTAAGGGGAGGATTGAGAGGAAATATTACCTTGTTTGAATGAAAGTCGTTGAGAAATTGCGAATACGAGTTTATGAAGATATTTGAGTAGGGGTGGAGGACGTGGATAGTCCAATCCCATTTAAAATTTCATAGGTGAAAAAAATTATCAATGTATGAGTTTCGTACAACTTTTTTAACATCTTCATTTGGTTGCCCCTAAATTTGACTATTCCATCCAAGAAATTAAATTTTAAAATGAAACTATAATTCCCCACCTTTCATAGACGTGATAGATGCTCCTTCGTGACCAGGTAATTTAAGATGTAATTATTTTAAAGGTGTATTGAAATATCTTTATAGCACGTATTAGGTTATCAATACCAAAGATTTGTGTATGTATTTTCGTGCAGATATATGTTTCATGGTCTCGCAAGAAACATGATAATCTTACTAAGTAATGCGTCATTGATTTCTTAAAATTCATCTCATTACGTGTAAAAGACATATTTATGGCTTAATTCAACCCCTTTTGTTCACACTAATGTTATTTTCTTCCTCCTTTCGTGTCTAATTGTCAAGTTTTTCAAACTCACACAACTTTGTTCAGTTTTAGTTTTCTTTGAATTCCTTGAACACCAAAATTTCTGTCGGGTCTTGCCTACAGCAATCAAGTAAAATTTATTGGACAAAAAATTGTCTTTTTTGAATTTAGAGAAACCATTGACCATTCTAGCCCAAACCAGAATAGTGGCTGGGCCACACGGGGCGGCTGGAGGGGCTGCCCACCAGGCCTATGACCCTTTTAAGGCAAAAGAAAAAAAATAAAAATCTACAATGTATCAATTTTATTATTATTATTATTATTATTATTATTATTGTTGTTGTTGTTGTTGTTGTTGTTGTTGTTGACCCCAAAAAGTATTGCCAACGGATGTCGGTCCCACCGCGCACACGTGGGCGAATGTCCAACACGCTAAGACACGTAGACGGTCTAAAATGAGCGATTCTAAGGGCGTGGGAGTAGCCCAACGACGCGGGACAGTGACATTCGGAATCCGGCGAGTTGTTCGTGATCCGATTGTACAATAATTACCAACCGATGTTCGTAAATGTATATGTAAGTGTATATAAACTCGATTTGTGTATTGCAAGTAAATGAGAGAGTGTTGAGTAAAGTATAGTTCTTTGTATTGATTCTTACATTAGTCTTTTGATGTTACACAAGGGAAGTATTTATAGTGACACATGTGAATGGGAGCCCTTGGATGAAGTGGCACGTGGCCTCATCTCTTTAATTCAAACATCTCATCTTAGGCATGGGGCTTGACTTGCTAGTTTGCTGCGCATTTATTGCTTTATGCAGGGCCTCCATACTAATGATAAGATTTGACCTTTATGCTTATGACAAACGTTCCATCAATCATTCGAATAAGATTTTTATGCAGACGATCTCTTGGGAAAAGTGAACATAAAGGACACTCCTTCATGGTTCGGAGGCTCCTGCGTCTGCTTCAGGGCTTTGGCCATTTCACACGATACTTCCGCTTGAGGGCTTCAGCTATCTTCAACTAGCTTCAGCATCATGGCTTCGGTTCATGGGTTTCGACATGTGGACCTCCGGTACGTTTACAGGCCTCGGTAAAAAGGAGCCTCGGTTAGTGGATTTCGGCTTGAAGGGCTTCGGCGTTACCCACCTCGCCAATCTATGCCACCTCGGCTCGAATGCCACGTAGGTCGCCCTGAGTGGGCTATAATGGCCCAGGTGAATTGGCTAAGTATGACCACACACAACAATAGTCCCCCAAGTCCAAGTATGGTCATTCATGTAATGCGTGGACTTTAATGAAGTAAAAATTGAAAGAATTTTTGAACCCCAAATAATAGTCCCTAAAGTCCAAGTGTAGATATTTATATCAGAGTTGGAATTAGAAATGTGTTGCCGTGGATGAACGATGAAGAGACCGAGGCTGTGTTGATGTTGAAGGAGAAGCCGAGGTAGTTGGAAAAACCGAACCTACGAGGCTTGATGGCTCAATGTTGAAGGTGAAGCTGAGGTGGTTGGAATACCGAACTTGCGAGGCTTGATGGTTGAATGTTGAAGAAGAAGCCGAGGTGGTTGGGGGACCAAACCTGCGAGGCTTGATGGGTGAATGTTGAACGAGAAGCCGAGATGGTTGGGGAGACCGAACCTGCGAGGTTTGATGCATGAATGTTGAAGGAAAAGCCGAGGTTGATTGTGCCTTGATAGCCGTGCCAATGATTTGATGTTTTGTGCTTGTTTTCGAGGAAAAGTGGTAGAACCGTTACGACTTCCAAGGTGCCTGCTACCGTCAAATTAAAAATACAATTATGATGGCAGCTGGAGCTTCTAGAAGCAGACGCGTTGGATGGGGCACATGGGAGGCACGCTTGAATCAGAGGCGTAGGTTTGAAAAACCGTTTGAATTCAACGCCTCGGATTTGATCTACAATGAAGGGCTGAGATTGACTGAGATTCGATCTGACGGCTAGTGTTTATCCTGGACCTCTATAAAAGGTGACAAAATCCCATTTTCTAGGACTTTTGAAACTTTGCAATTTGATTCTCTCTCAAATTTCTGAAATTTTCGGCGTCAAGGCAGCCCCTTTTTTGATTTCCCGACCTATCTCTGTTTGTAGTGTTCTCCCTTAGGTATCATTCGCAGGAAAACCTTATTTTTGTTGTTAATTCTGTGAGATGGAGTCCACCTCGAGCAGGGAGTTGGTGACAGTGGCGTCGTTAGATTATGGGGTCAGTCAGAGGGAAGATGCCGAGGCTGATAGTTATGCCATAACCGAAGACCCAGTAGACTATTCTGAGGAGTGGGGGGCGTCTAGGGTGCTTTCAAGTATGAATTGGAAGAGGTTAGGGGAGATCAGGGAGAGATATAGTGTCCCCCACTCCATAGAGATGCTAGTTCCCGAACCAAATGAGCGAGCCTGCTATCCGAGGTTCGGATGCGTGGCTGTCAGTGAATACCTGTTTAAGGTAGGTATGCGTCTTCCTCTGCACCCCTTCTTTAGGGCGGTGCTGAGGAATTTTATGTTGTCGTCGGCCCAGGTTCTGCCAAATGGGTGGAGCCAGTTGGTCGGCTCATACTTCCTGTGGAAGGAAGTGTCACTTGAGGAAGACATGCCTCTCCATGTATTTATGACTCTTTTCCAGCCCCGGATCATAGGGAAGGAGTCCAGGGGGTGGTATTATATTACACTTTGGGGGCTTACGCACCCTTTGTGATGGGACTGCCTTCCTCCATTAAGGGGTGGAAGGAGTCCTGGTTCTAGATGCGAGGAAAATGGCAGGCAGTGGAGGGGGACAAGGCCCTTTCTTGCACAGTGCCGACCCAGTACTACGAAGCTCGTAAGTCTCCCAGCCCTGCTTGTACTTCTGAATTGAACACTTAGAAAATTTCTAACTGTTGGGGCTTCTATTGCAGATTGTAGTACGAGGTTCGAGCTCAGCAGGGAGGAGTTCGAGGTGATAGAGGACATCTACAAGAGGCCTCTGAAGCTCCGGCATTTTGACCATCTGATTGACAAGAGTCGCTATTTCCTGGATTTTGGATTGATGGCATCCAAAGGTACGAGGCTCCCACAGTTGTAAAAAAATTTTTCTTGTCCTTTTGATTAGATACTGATGTGCTGACCTGACGTTCTTTTGCAGATAAATTCAAGAGGAAGGAGTACCCAGCTCCGGATATGCCCACGATTCTGAAGGCCACCACCACCTCCAAGGCTAGGGCCTTGAAGTCGGGATCTAGTGGGGCCAAGGAGGTCCGAGGTAAGGTGGAATGCCTTTCCAAGGACAGCACTCCAAAGGCTCCTGAAGAGGGAGCTTTCCAAAGGCAGGAGAGGCCAAAAGAGCCTCGGAGCAAAGAGAAGGTCCCAGAGGAGGTGAAGAGGAGGAAGCTGGTGCAAGTTACCAGCTCGTCCGGGAAATTTAGGACATCAGTGTCTCATGAGGCCAAATCCACAGGCGAGCCGAAGCTGCTCGCATCCGCCTCCAAAGCCATCAAGATAGAAATGGTCAGAGAGGCTGAGGCTGAGGCGGCTAAAGAGGAGGCAGTGAGGAGAGCTACCGAGGCTGCCGAGGAGGAGGCAGCTAAACAAAAGCTTGCTCGGGAAAAGGGGAAGTCTCCAAGCTTCCTAGTTGGAAGGGAGGAGACCTTGGCCCCAGCCTTGGTGGAAGCTCTTCCAGAGGAGGTTCGAAGCGCCATTGAAAACTTTTACAGGTTCTGGACTGACATGTGGCAGCTGCATGCCTCCTCCTGCGATGCATCCGACCTGACGAGGGCGTTGGTGAGCCAAAGCGTCAGAACTTTTTGGCCTCGCTCTTGAATGCAGGAAGGCCCTTAGTGATTTTCAATCAAGGACCAGATCTTCGGAGGAGAAGACGGCCTCCCTTGCAGAGGAGGTTAAGGCGGCTAGGGCCGAGGCGGAGGTAGCCAGGGCCCAAAAACTTGAAGAAATGGCCAAGCTTGAGTCTGTCTTGGCCTAGATTGAGGCTTTGAAGAAGGAGGTTCATGAGTCACAATGCGAGGTGGCCTCCCTAACAAAGAAGGTGGAGGTCTCCAATGAGTACCAGAAAGTAACTGCTAAGGCCTTGGAGAAGGCCAATCTCTCTTTGGTGGGTGCCCAAGATGCTTATCATTTCTTGGAAACCCAAATAAAGTGGTATGTGGATGATGCATCCCATGCCAGAGAGGAGGCTCAACGGGCGAGGAAACAGGCGGTGCAGGAGTACGTCGCCAACTTCCATAACACAGAGGAGTATAAGAGCTTCAGTGCTTACTGGAGAAGCTTTGCCTATGCTGAGGTGATGGAACGGGCGGAGGAAATGTATCCCAATTTGGATCTGACTCAATTCAGGTCTGAATTCATGGATGAGGTACCTCAGACCCCTGCTGAGGAGGTGCAGGGTAATGAAACAGCTGAGGTAGGGGAGACAAATGCCGATGCTCAAGCTGCCGAAGCCCCAAATACTGAAGTACCTCCCCCATCTACCCAAGCTTAGATTAGTTTTCTTTTCAGTTTTTTGAATGTAATGGCCTGAGGCCCACTTTTGTATTCCTTGTTGAAGATCAATAAAATGCATGTTTCATTCATTGTTGTTTCTTTATCTAGTGTACGCGCCTTGGACTTAAGCAAAATAACTTTACTTAAGCAAATGAACTGTTTAAGCCTCGGACTTAAGCAAATGAACTTCGGACATAAGCGAATGCACTTAAGACATAAGCGAATGCACTTAAGCAAATGAACTTCGGACATAAGCGAATGCACTTCGGACATAAGCAAATGAACTTAAGCAAATGAACTTTAAACAACTATTTGAGCCTCGGGCTTAAATGAATGAACCTCGAATATAAGCAAATGAACTTCGGATATAAGCGAATGAACTTAAGCAAACGAACTAAATAACAACTGTTTGAGCCTCGGGCTTAAATGAATGAAGGTGAGGTGGCTTCTTCCCTTGGCATTTAGTCCAGCCAAAGGGAGGCATGTGCTATAGCCTCGGGGTTCAATCGAGGTGGCCCAAAGGTGGGGCGCGAGCCTCTCATTCGAGGTGACGACGCATCCCAGCCATGGAGGGTGATGCAGCCATGTCGAGGCTTCTCCCCTTGGCGTTTTGTTTGTTTTGGCCAAAGGGAGGCATGTGCTAGAGACTCGAAGTTCCAGCGAAGTGGCCCAGAGGTGGGACGCGAGCCTCTCCTCCGAGGTGACGAGGTAGTTCAACATGTTAATTTAATCACTAAATTTTATTGAACCATAGAAATGTTACAAGGGCTGGGAAAGGTCGTCCAGCAAGATAGTACATTTATTGGTAGTACATTCTGAGGTGTTCGATGTTCCATGGTCGGGGTTGTGCCTTGCCGTTCATGTCTTCAATCCAGTAAGTCCCAGGTCGGACTTCTTCTCTGATTTTGTATGGACCTTCCCAGTTTGGGCCAAGGGAACCGGAACCAGGTTCTTTTGAGGAAACGAAGACCCTCCTAAGTACAAGGTCGTTGATTCGGAATGACCTCTTCTTGACTTTCGAGTTGAAATACCTTGTCATCTTTCTCTGATATGTGCCGAGCTTCACTTGGGAGTCATCTCTTCTTTCTTCGATGAAGTCGAGGTCAAGCCTTCGGAGCTCGTCGTTAGTTATCTCGCTGAAGTGCAGACGTCTTGGTGGTGGTTCGGACCGCCTAAAGGACTTGGGGCAGCTCATCAACCCAGGCCCCTTTTGATACATTCAGCTTCCTTTTCAAGACGTGCTTAATCGTCTTGTTCACAGCCTCGACCTGGCCGTTTGCTTGTAGGTGGTGAGGTGTGGAGAAGTGCTTCTTTATGCCGAACTCTTCGCATAATTCTCTAACCTTCTTGTTGTCAAATTGTTTGCCATTGTCTGAGACGATTGAGTGGGAAATCTCGAACCGGCAAATAATATTTTTTCATAAGAACTTGGAGGTGTTGGCTTCAGTGATTTTTGCCAGTGGTTCGGCTTCGACCCACTTCGTGAAGTAATCAATAGCCACAATTGCAAAACTTGCCCCTCCTCTACCCTTAGGTAGGGGGCCTATGAGGTCCACACCCCATTTTGAGAAAGGCCAGGGGCTAGAGACGGTGGTCAGCTCCTGCGATGGTTGTCGCTGCACCGGAGAGAAGCGCTAGCATTTATCGTATTTTCGTACAAGCTCGAGAGCGTCCCTCTTTAGTGTGGGCCAGTAGTACCCTACCTCAATATTTTCTATGCCAGAGATAGCCCTCCGGAGTTGTTACCGCATATGCCCTCGTGGACTTCCCTCAATAAGTAGGTAGCCTCTTCTCCTCCGACGCACCGTAGGAGTGGGGAGGAGAAGCTTCTCTTGTAGAGAATGTCATCAATGAAAAGGAAGTGAGCTAACCTTCTTCTTAGCTTGTAAACCTCATTCTTGTCAGTTGGCAGTGCCTGGTCTTTGAGGTATGCTACGATTGGTTGCATCCAAGCGGGAGTTCCAGCGACCCACATTACTGTTGGGGCCTCGATCGAAGGTAGGAGGAGGTGCTCAATGGTTACTACTGTGAGTAGCTCTGAGTCCTTGCTGCTAGCTAGCTTTGATAGTGCATCAGCATGTGCATTTTTGATGCAAGGGATCTGGATCAACTCAAACTTTTCGAAGGATGGGATGAGATTCATCACCATTTTCAGGTAGGAGGCCATCATTTTGTATTTGGCTGAGAACTTACCATTGACTTGGCTAACAACCAGTTGGGAGTCACTACTGATGAGCAGCCTCTTTACTTGCATTTCGGTGGCCAGCCTCAGGCCTGCAAGAAGTGCCTCATACTCTGCTGCGTTATTGGTAGCTTTGAATCCAAACCTCACCGCCAAGGTAAGCTTGTGACCTTCGGAGCTGATGAGAACAACCCCAGCACCGGAGCCAACTTCCCCAGTTGACCCATCAACGAAAAGATTCCACGTGGGAGGTTCGATAGGTTCCATAATTTTGTCCACCTCGGGTAGGTTGGCGAATTCAGCCACAAAGTCAGCTAAGACTTGCCCTTTTATAGCTGCCCTAGCCTTGAATACAAGGTCAAATTCACTGAGTTCTACCGCCCATTTCAATAACCTTTCTGAGGCATCAGGCTTTTGGAGTACCTGCCTCAGGGGAAAATTTGTCAGTACATGGATGGTGTGAGCTTGGAAGTAGGGTTTGAATTTCCTAGAGGCCGTGATCGAAGCCAAAGCGAGCTTCTCCATATCGGGGTAACGGGTTTCCGGCGATAGGAGCGCTTTACTTGTGTAGTATACGGGGAGTTGGGTAGACCCTTCTTCCCGTATCAGAACCGAGCTGATGGCC